CCCGCCCCGCCCCCCTCCCGCCGCCATCTTGGAAGTTGCGTCAAGATGGTGGCGCCGGCGGCTTAAAGCTCCGCCCCCGCCGCCTCGCGCTCGGCGTGGTTACGTCACCGCGTTCCCGCCGCCCTGAACCCGGAAGTGCGTCTTGCCATTCGCGGGCGTGCGGGGCCGGCGGGAGCGCCCGAGTCCGGCCGAGCCGAGCCGAGCCGAGCCGGCGGGGCGGAGATGGCGGCGGCGGAGCTGCAGGGGAAGTACCAGAAGCTGGCCCAGGAGTACTCCAAGGTACCGGGCACCGGGGCTGCAGCGCCGCTTTCCGCGGGAGCGCGGAGTGCCGGGGTGCCTCCCCCGGGGGTGAGGCGGGGCGGCCTCGGGGGGCGCGGGAGGTGCGCGCTTGCAGGAGCCGAGGGGGCGCGGCAGAGGCAGAAGGGCCCCGTCTGCGGGACATGCTGGCGGGCTCACACGGGGCTCGGCTGTGCCGGGCAGGCGACACTGGCGGTGTTTTCCCGTGCTCTGCCCGGGCCAGGCGGGCGCGGGCCTTGGTTGATCCGCTCGGCGGTGAGCATTTGCCCGGCTGTCGGTCGGTCGTGCTCTCACCCGGTGAGCTCGGCGCTGGCAGTGCCTTGGAAGCGAGCAGGACGCTTTCTTCCACGTTTGCCTGCTGTCTGTCCCCCTTCTTCTGCCCTCGGTGACTTTGCATCCTGTTTCTGGTGCTGCTTGGCACAGGGTTTGCGAAGATGTGCAGCCCGTGGTGGAGAGTGCCTTTCCTTTCCAAAGTGCCTGAGATGAGTTCTGAAATAGCGGAGCCTTGCTCAGTACTGAGCCTTTTATTCTTTCTTCTTCACTGAAAGGAAGAGGAGACTCTTGGTCTTGAGTGGCAGAGTCCTCCAGCAGCCTTGGGGAAGAAAGGCAGCGCTTTGGTTTTGTGCAGCCCCACACCTGCACCTGGCACAAGGCACTTGTCTGCATTTTACACTTCTCCAGCTTACAGAACCATGTCTCTAAATACTCTTCTCCTTGGAACTGTTACAAAAACACCATGTGTAGCATCTAAATAGTTTACAGATAGATATCCTTTTAATGCTGCCACAAAATAGTTTTAAGAAAATTTCATTTACTTTGCAGCTTTGTAGGTCACAGAATTCACATGTCTTCTTTTATACAGAAGCTCTTTTGCTCCTTGGAGATCAGTAGTGGCTGAGGATGAGATAATGAAGGGATTTTGGTTCTTGATTCCTGAATGAGCATTGGAAATGTGGCCTTCTGACTATAGCTTCCAAAAGTTCCCGCTGCTGGATTCTTTCTTTTAGTATCATGGTGCTCAGGAGCTTTCTTTGAGTTTCATCATGCACTTCTCAGCCTGTGCCATTTCTCCTTTGCTGGAGCTATTTTTTTCATCCCATTTCTCGTGCAGTGCAGCTCATTGTGGGACTCCCCTTTGCAGAGCCCTCTTCTCTTTGTTGTTGGCTGCTTGTTGTGTGCAGGTGGGAATGGAGAATAGCCCTGGAGTAGCCTGCTCACTTCAAGGTGCTCTGAAAGCCACGCAGAGAGGTGGACAAGAGTTTGACAGACTCAAGCAGTGCTGGGGGAAGTCCCTGCCAAAGGATTGCTTTTCCTCATGGTTCACAGACCAGTCCGGAAGAAGAGACTCTGAAAACACACAAGTTGGAGCTGCTGGCTCTCTCCTGAAGGAATATTCAAAGCAGCTTTGTGGCAGCCTGTGTGGGTCCCACTTCAGCTGGGTCTGTGGGTGCAGCAGGACTGAGCTGCTTCATTCTCTGCACCTGCAGTAGTAGCTGTGGCACAAAGACAGCTGTGGAAAACTCCTGCACTGCTCCTTCTTGCTGGGGAAACCCTGTGCTTGGAAGTTTTTCTGTGGTGCACTGGGAGGTTTTTGTCTTGCCTGTGTGATGCCTGAGCAGCACAGTGGGAATACTGCAGGGGAAACAGCTGTGCTTAGCAGCGACTTCTGACCTTTCAGAGGCACTCAGTCATCACACTGAAACAATGAGCCTCTGCTGTTTTACACTGAATCTTGCCTTTTATGCACCTGCCAGATACCTGTACAAACCCTTTTAATTTATATCTGCAACAGCTGGACTCACACATGTCAAATGAATACAAACTGCCTTTGAAGAAGCCAGGATTCAAGCAATTTTCAAGGAGTGGGAAGATGGAACTGTCAGTATCCTCATTGCCGCAGGGTAGAGGTACTCTGTGGAGTGACTGGGAAATAGGTTTCTTGAGTATCACTTTTCACTGCAGTGATTTTAGCTCAGATTTTGGGTACTGTATAAGTAAGGCTTAGAGGGCTTTCCCTTTTATGCTTTTTATGCCTTTTTTTCTGTCAGTCTGTTCTCTCTAGATCATCTGCTGCCACGGGTAATAAGTAATTTTGCATTGAATTAAACTCCTCTTGAATTGATAGATATTTTGATTTTATGAGTCCTGCTCATGTTCCAGAACTGGTTATAAACAGTTTTGGGAAGAAGAGGGGAGAGACAGAAATAGCCCTGAATATGACCAAGAACTTCATTCCTCAAGGAAGAGGTTGCAACTTTTCCATATTTGTTCCTAGTTCTTCAAGTCTTAACTATGCTTAAGTAACTGTTCTTCAAGGGTATTTATTGAGTAAGAATTCTGTTCTATTTGACCAAAATGTTCAGGTGGTAAAGTTACTTCTTGTTCTTTGGCAAGTCAGGATATGAATTGGATGCCTTTTCAACCTGATACCACTGCTATCTACCTGAAGAAAATACTTGAAAAAGCATTCCACATTGCCACACCTGGCACTCTCCTGAGAGAATGTGATGCTTTCTGCACTTTCTCATGGATGGCTTTTATTCATTCTGTTGTCTTGCATAGTTACTGGCATCTTTTGTTTTTCAGCTTCGTGCTCAGAACCAAGTCCTGAAAAAGGGAGTTGTAGATGAGCAAGCAAACTCTGCCTCGCTGAAGGTAATCTCTAAAAACTGCTCATGTTAGGTGGACTAAGCTGTGACAAAATAAGTATATAGGGGTACGTTTTACTGAAAAGTAATGTCAATAAAAGAATGAAGAGGGAACTTGATTTTAGTAAAAGAATTTCTGTTTTGCAGCTAGCCCATTGTTCTCTGTAAGTGCTGAGTTTGTAAAAGGGGAAGGTTGATTCTTGATGATTGTAGAATTAAGTAGCTACTTGGGTACGATCTGTGACCAGCTCAAGGAAGTGAAACACATTTTTTTGGTTTAGAAATGATACTTTGTCTCTTCAGTATTTCAGAAGTGAAGCAATTTTCTAATTTGTTCCTGTTTTTAGTGTGTAAAAATAAATGTGAAGATTTAAAATTTTTTTTTCTTTTAATCATTCAGGAACAACTGAAGATGAAGGATCAGTCACTGAGGAAACTGCAACAAGAAATGGACAGCTTGACCTTTCGAAATCAGCAACTTGCCAAGCGGGTGGAGCTACTTCAAGATGAACTTGCATTAAGTGAAGCTCGGGGCAAAAAGAACAAGGTATGTGCTGAAGGCAAAAAAAAACTTGCTTAGCAGATGTCTGCTCCTCATCTGTCAAAGCCTTGTCCTGATCTTTAGCAGCAGGTATTTTGTGTCAAGGGTTGAGCTGAATGTTCTTGTCAGAACTTGTGTTATTTTATCTGATGTTAGTGAAAATACCCATAAAACAGGTATTGAGATATATATATGAAATACATGCAGTGTAGTTCTCTACTCTTCTAGTCTGTCAGCTGACTGATGCTGAATTGCTGTCTTCTTTCATGGATATTTATTAAGTGTTCAAAAAAGTGGGAAATACTTTGGAGCTCTGTGATTAGTCAGCTGCTATGCAGAAAGCTGATCACTCCTCATTTCCCATCCCCACCTCTTTGCTTTGTATTTTTGATGTTGGTAGTTAACTCTTCAGCCTGTGATCATGGCTTTTCTGTGTGAATCTTGTCAAATGCTTTGAAATCTAAATTTTTAGCTTGTATTCTTTGTTATTTCAAAATGACACATTATTCTGTTATTTCAGAATGATTTCAACACTGTGATCTTTTTCTGCCAGAATGCTTGCTGATTAAACCTAGTGATGTCATATTCTAAGACCAACTGTGCCTTCTGTAGGTAGCATCACAATTCCAGGCGTGGTGTGCTTGGACTTCAGTAATTCTCAAGCATCTCTTGCTACTATCCTCATGAAGAAACCCCTCTTAATTACTGCTGTCTTTTCTTTTTGGTGCTGTCTTTTCTCAAAGTGCTGTAGTTATCAAGACTGGCTTTAAAGAAATCATTCAATTGATAAGTAATATAATCATCTTCCTTACTTTCCCCTAAAGTCTTGCCCATTTTGCTGCTGTCTAATTCCTTGACAAGCACAGTGCTTCTGACTACATTATTCATGCACCACAATAGATTGTTCTTTCAAATGCACTTTGACCCTTCTGTTCTTTTATTTCAAACTGTGTAAGTTACTGTTTTGCTATCTGTGTTTCCAAATTTTGAAGGACATCAGCCTGTCTTTAGTAGCTTTGCAAACAATTGCCACTGAGTTTCTTTCCTGTTCATCTGTCAGAATGCACAGCTTTAGTTCCGTGATCCGTGTTAGAGTGCAATCCTTTTAGAAGGAGCAGAACATGTGCCCATATCTCAGGTGGAGTTCACAGGCTGGCATCAAATGCAGAAGTGACTTACCTGCCCTACATGTCCCTAGTTGTTGAAGTTTGGTGTTGAGTTTAAATGCATAGAGTCTCCCCTGTGTTTGGTGATGATACCTTTCTTCAGCAGTGTGGTGTGTGGGATTCAGTGGTGGTCTGAGTCTTTCGGATTAAATGAGTGGAAAGTGAGGACACGGGCAGAGGGATACGTGTGGTTGATGGGCAGGGAAGATGCTGTGGTTCCATGGCACCTTGTGCTGCAGCCTGGCCTTCACCTGGAGCCTTGCTGGGCACAGATGAGCCTTACACATAGCTAGCAAAGCACTGAGCCTGGGTATGGAGGGTTTTGCATGACTGACTGCATGGGATTGTGCAGAATTCCAGTGAATTCAGATGGGCTGCTGCCCATCCAAGTGAGTGTTTCCCTGTGAGTGTGAATGGGACCCCTGAGTGGAGGCTTTCCCAAGGCAGTGTTGTACCACTGTAGGGTCACAGGGGTGTGGAGGAAAGGAAAGTGTGCTGCCTCGAGGCTGGTGCTGAGTGCAATATTCACACTTCGGATGTATCAGTGTGAGCAGGATATCTGGTGGTGTGTCCCTTCTGGGAATTACCTGTGGGAGCTGTTCTCACAAACCTGGGACTTGGAGGTAATGAGTGTATCACCATGATATTTTATGAAAAATCCTTTGCTAGGATTTTCCCCTCTTGAGGAGCTGAGGGCCTCAGGAAAGAAATGTAAACAATAACTGTCTGCTGCTGTGGGATGCAACAGGTGCATCTTCCATTGGTCCATGTGGATTGTTTTCCATTGATGACCAATCACAGCCACCTGTGCTGAGGCTGTGAGAGTCACAAGATTTTTTTAGGCATTCTATTCTTGTTCTTTGTAGCTTTCTGATAATTTCTTTTCTCTCTGTTCTTTTAGTATAGTTTATGTAGTATTTTAATATATATAATAAGATAATAAATCAGCCTTCTGAGAAAATGGAGTCAAGCCTTGTGTCTCCACACATGGGGAGTCCTCAACATGAGTGCATTTTGTCTCTTTTAGAAAAGTGTGGAATCCTCATCTCAGCTGAGTCAAGAACAGAAAAGTGTCTTCAATGAAGATCTTCAGAAGAAAATAGAAGAAAATGAACGACTGCATATACTTGTGAGTGAAATTTTGTTTTGCCTTTATTTTTGGTGCAGAGAACTGGTGTTACAACCAAAGATATGGAAAGTAAAGTGCTGTCTGAAAACTGGTGGGTTTAGAAGCTTAGTTGTATGCAAAGCAGTAGATTAGATCAGATTTTTTATAAAGATGTTCCCTAGGCAAATCAAGTATTTTGACTTTAGATTCTTAAGACAGTGTGTGGAATCACATATGTGTTTTTTCATTTAGATTTTTAACTTCTGGTGACAGCTGCCCTACTGAAAATAGCCTGGTACTGAAGGGAAATTTCTTATTAGTTCATTAACTGTTTCAGAATTGCTTTAAAGTTTAAAATATTTTCTGCAAATTGCCTTGATTAGGAGCTATTTTACCAAAGTAGAATGCATTTTACTTTAGAAAACTTGAGAAAAACCTTTTGGCTCAAGTTCAGTTTTTCATGTGTCTGCTATTAATCAGCAATATATTTAAAGAATGCTTAGTACTGCAAAGCTTATTTTTCATTTAAGTACTTTGTTCCTCAATCTTTTCTCTGTAAATAAAATAAAATTTCTATTTGTCTGAGAACTGGTAATTGCTGTTAACCTGATCTGCCTAATGAAATTGGAGTAACTTATAGGGCTGAGTTCAGTAGTAAAATGAGGCTTTTTAAAAGAGCTTTTCTTTTCTTCCTGTAGTTCTTTGAAGCAGATGAGCAGCACAAACGTTTGGAAGCAGAGCTGAGGAGCAGACTGGAGGTTTTGGAAACAGATGCTGCCCAGCACCAAGCTGTGGTGGACAGCTTAACAAAGAAATACACGGAGACCATAGAAAAGCTGCAGAACGATAAAGCCAAACTAGAAGTAAGGAGTTTTTCCTCTTGCTTGCAAGTTTGAAAAGTTTTGAAATGCAATGTCTTGCTGTGTCAGCACTTACATTGTGAGATTATCTTCTTGCATAAAGATCAAGTCTCAGACACTAGAAAGAGAAGCTAAGGACTGTAGGCTTCGAACTGAAGAATGGTAAGTGTCTTTATTTCATTGATATAAAGAAATAATTGTTGTGAAACATTAACTGGACTATTTTCTAAGAATAATACCATTTTAAAAAGGGGTTTAATTGAAAGACTTTGATAAAATTCAAATTGTATTATCATGAGAACAAATGTGAGCAGTGCAGGTCAAGCCCCCTTTTCCTTTTCTGTGTATGGAACTAGACAATTCCACAACTTCTGCTTTCAGCAAGAGCAGTATTGTCTCCAAGCTATTTCAATAGGAGTAACTTTGATTAAAGTTTGAAGAATTTATTTGTAATTGAAAACCATAGAAAGTAAAAACTTGTATGAAACAAAGGTATGTGAGTTTGTAAAAACTGCTTCTAAGAACAAAGTTTGAGTAACATATGCTGAGAGAACTGACTGAAAAGAGTTTCAAAAATCCCCTTTCACTGCAAAAGCTTCTTGAGCAATCGTTTTTGCTTCAGGTATAGTGTTCTCAGCTAGAATATTTGAAAGTTTTTATCAGAGAATTATATTGTTAGTTTTGGAATATTTTCATTGTCTTGAAGACAAGTTGTAGAAGTTGAGAACTGTGATCCAAATCAAATTAGGGTGCATTTCTCTGAAGTTCATTAAGCTGCATTTTTTTAGAAGATACATGTGCAGTATAGATCATTAATGTAATGAATGCAGATCAGATGCAGAGTAGATCCTTCTTTCACATGGTAACCCTCAAGTGTGTATTTTTATTATGCTGATGGATGTGAAGATACTTGAATCCAATAACTCCACTAATACAAGTCAGGGTTTCACTAAAAATGACTTGAAAAAGAAGAGGAAAGCTGTGTTTGGCTGCTGTTTGCTTTTTTCGAGGTGTTTGAAAAGCTGTAGTTTTAATCTGCTACTAGTCAGTTCAGGCTTTGTCTATCATGTTCTGTGGAGACTGGGTAATTGATGTCATTGTAAGAACTTATCCCTACTATTTTAAGTTACACTGTATTAAGTTTTTAAAAGTAATGAAGCTTGACACTTCATTTTAAACACTGAAATCACTGTTGAACACACGGCAGGATGTGTCCCTGAGAATACTGCCCTTCTGTTTCCCCTGCTTTGTCAGGGGAAGGGATCCATTTGCCTCTGACACCCACACTTTACTCAGAAAAGCCAGAGGATATGGGACTTGGCAGCCTGCATGCTTTGAAAATTAAAGGGCAGAATGTAAGGCAAAACACTTGTTTGTCATTCCTGTAAGTCTAAAAAGGAACTATCAGTACATTTGCAGTTTGTCTTGGAGTTCATTTTTTATCATGCTCATTGCTACTGCAGTACCTGCTGTACAGTTTCTATGCAATTCTGGAGCTGCTCTCCAAGAAAAATACTTGTTAATGTGCATGAGCTACTTATTGGGCAGTTACTTCATATCTTCCTTGTGTATTTTGGATTATTTTGCTTTGTTAATTAGCCATGCTGACTTTTGCTAAGTTTCTGTGTATCAAATATTGTAAGAAAGGAAAAAAAAACCTGTCACTTTGACACCTTCCCCCCACCCTCCACTATATGTGCAGGAGTTCTAGATGTCAAACGGGAAGCAAAACAGTGAAGAATTTGGGGGCCTAAGTTGGGTAAGGTGTGGAATTTGGTCTGAATCAATAATGGAGTGTTCTTTGTAGCTATATGTATATAATGCTGGAATATGTTACTGTTCATCTCAGCATTTTATTCTCATTCTATTAATAATCTTAATTACTTAAGTTCACATGTACATGACAGTCAAATGCAAGTGAAGAAAATATAGAGAAAAATCACGTGAGAATGCATCAGAAACATAATTGTCAAATCTTGTCAGAACAGGCAGTATCATAGCACTGTTTAAATATGGGTTTTGAAAAGCCTTTGAGGTATCTCAAATAGTGATATGGCATAGTTAATTGAATTATTGACAACTCATTACCTGCTTATTGGAGTACTGCATTGGATGCATAGTAACTAGTTTGGAGGCCCTTTTACCTTCCCATCCAAATTCTAGTAGAAGAAAATGCCTTCATATAGCTTATATAATAGTTGTACTATAAGAAAATAAGGTGTATTTTAACTCTGAAGTAAATGGAGCTTCTCAAGAATAGAATTTAGGATTTTCAAATTTATGGTAACTTTCACCGCTGTTGTTAGGGATTAGGATTCAATGTTGTGTTAAATATGAGATAAAGGAGGACAAATTACTCCCACTGTATTATTTCTATCTAACTTCTAGAAGGAGACAGATACCTATACACTCAAGGGATGCCTATAGTGAGATATGGTGTTGGTGATACAGATGAAATTTTAAAGGTTTACAATGTGTGTGTGTGTGTGTGGTTTTTCGTTTGTCTCTTTGTTATTTAGCCAGCAACAGCTAAAGAATCTTCAAGCAGCTTTGGGCAGTAGACTGGAAGAATCTCTATGCATAATTAATGAAAAAGTACCTTTTAATGACACAAGTACGTATTGCCTTGGTCTGGGTATCTTGTTTGATTTTTTTTTTTTTGGGTATCCATCTGGAGGGAGTAGTCCTTATGAATTAAAATGTATTAGCTGTAAGAAATGTTGGACATCTGAACAGACATTTGGAGGTAACTGTAGTAAGTATTCCTGATACTTGTCATGGTCTTCTTCAGTAATTCTAAAATACCAAGTTTTTATATGTATAATGAAAATTGAAACTTTTGAAGGCTTTTGACTGATTTGCCACTTGTCATATTTAGTGTTGACAGAATATTGTAAACGATGAAGGAATGCTGTCAATTTAATGGCTGCTCCATAAAGATTGGTTACTCATCTCAAAGAGTATTATTTTTGGCAGGGTATATTCAAGAGGTGCAGTAAGTTAAGGTGGGGGAAAACTGGTGGCTGCAGAGATATTGCATCAATAATGGTCTGTACTTTTACTCATGGGGAATTTGTCAGGCTGTCTCATTGATCAGAAAACAAACAGAGTAGTTCTTACCTGAAGGCTGTCTTAGACTCATTTGTCCCTTTATGGGGAAAAAAGCCCTTTGGACCTGGGGACTTTTACCTGAAGCAATGTTTTTCTGCTTCCTTTCCAACTGCTGCTAGATCAGCTGAAGTGCAGAGGATCCCCTGGAGTTAGGAGTGCTCAGCCTATGCATGGCTTTGGTACAAGCATGGGTTAGTATGTGCTGGTGGGTCAGTGCTGTGCACTGTGTGCTTTCCTGAACAGCTGAACACAAGGGTGGGCAGGCACTGCCTGGGCTCTTCTGGACCTTTCAAAACCAGGATGACCTGGAGTAGTGAAAAAGCTGAAAGTACTGAAGAAGGAGCAGAGAAGTGAAAACAGGCTTTGGAATTTCTTGTATATTTCATTGGTGGCTTTTTGCATTTTTCATTCAGTTTAAAACCTGCTGACAATGTTTTAAGTGGCCTTAGGTTCTCTAAAAGCTGATCTGGCAGGTGCTGCAGGGATGAGTGTGCCAAGCTCTCCACTGGTTTGGCAATCCAGTGAGTGTTGGCTTAGGGACACCAGATCATCATCTCTTTAGGAAATGTTGACTCCCATACAGCACGTCATACTGAGGTGTTGGTGCCTGGAGTTGGTATCCTTTTCACTTCTCTCACTTTGCCTGGCTTCTGCTGCCTATTTCTACTTCTCTGGCTTCTTTAGCTTGCATTTTTTTAGGCGCTTATCATTGTAGCAAGAACTTTGCTAAAATAATTTATCTGCTCACTCAGCTGCCATAGCATAATGCCTTTGCTTGTGTAGTAGAAAGCACTGCAAATAGAGAAGAACATTACTTTAGTGATAGATCGGTGGAAGTCAGGAGGTGTTTGTTTGTTGTGGATTCCAGCTGTCTTCCTATAGACCCTGTAGCTGGCTTCAAGTGTAACTAGCAGCTAATTTCAGTAACAATCAAATGACTGCTATGCATGATTTACAGAGCAGAAGAAGTTTCCTGAAGCATTTACTTAGAAGTAGGATTCAATAATTTTGGACAGGGCTATTTTCCTCTAAATGTAACTACCTCTTCCCATGTCTTAATAGCCAAATGTGGATGACACAAAAGGAGTAAGAAACTGTAAATTTCCTTTGTGAGTAAATTTTAAACTAATCTGGTTGTTGTTCAACTGAATTGAGAATGGATGTGACCCCTTTTAAATCTCTAAGACTTTGTAAGCTCTTCTCTAGGTTCAAATAGCCCTCTGCCCCTCTAATTGTGGCTGCTTGTAACTGAATAATCATTCTAGTTACTTCATGACTAGAGAAGAATGCTGAAATACATGGAGAGTACATCTTCGTCTAAATTGTCAACATATAAAGTGTATGCAAGAGCTTCAAAAAACATGGAAACCATTCAAAAATATATTAGTCTTACTTGGCCCCTCCTTGGCATGTAATTGAAATTTAAAGATAATCTTGAATTCTTTAAGTGTGTTTTCTTTCAAAAGAGTTTTTCACTCTTGTTTGTGATGAATAGTGTTCCTTGGGCAAGAGGAGTCTGCTCTTATTTTTAAAATTCAGGGTCTTCAGGTGATTAAATTTGACTTACAATCTGAGGCAGGTATTGAACTGCTTCCACTTAATCACAGAAACCCTTAAGTGAGGATATTTAGGCCTACTTTATTGGAGTCAATTGCTTGTATCTCTTTAGTTAATATTGCTTACATAACCTGTAATATCCCTGCAATTAATTTTCTTTTTTAAATCAGTACTTATCAAAAAATGTCTCTCCCCCACAATTTAACAAGTGCATATAACTCAATTTTTGTCCTGTAGGATCAGCTCGATACAATGCTCTGAATGTACCATTGCACAACAGAAGGAATCAGGTGAGTGCTTCTTGTGGTTTCATGTGACTGCACAATTTTCTACACAGATGCTGAAGTAAAACCAGTCATTTTAGTACCTCAAATGGCAGAAGATAGCCTGTCTTACTATTGTCATGATATTCTGAGAGCATTTCTGCCCAAGAGCCTCTGTGCTTTCCAAGAGGTTGTGTATATCTTTATGTCAAGGAGTCTCATTAAAGTTATATGAAATATTATTTTATTGGGTCAACCTTCAGTAAGCTAGAAGTTGAAACATTTCATTTTTAAAGTTGATTAAAACTACAGTAGTTTCTTTTGTTGGAAAAAATGTAGGTTTGGTATCCTAAATTCCTTTTCCCTCAAACTGAGCTTCTTCAGTCACATCACTTGAGCTTTAGAGAATGTATGCATTTGTATACTGCACATTGGTGTGTGCACTAAAATGCTGTATTAGGTAACATTACTTGTCACCAGTCACAACCCTTTCTAGAAATAAGTCATGTCACTTTGAGATCTCTGCATGGTTCATTTACATTTTGTGGGATACTTCTTGCCAAAGGACCTCTTACTTGCAGCAGAATGATTCTTATATATTGAATCATTTTTAGGAAACAGTTTCTGTTCACTGCCATAATTTAATGAGATTCCTCGTGAATGTTGTTTATTCAGTATTCAAAAATGAGCATTGGTTTTCTGTGAATGGCTGAATATTTTAAGGGTTTTTACAATAGCAAATCAGAAACCTGTATGCAGTCAAAATTTTCCTGTGTTGCTACTACTGAGGATGGACTCTACAGCACTGTAGGGTTTTTCTGTTTCCTTGTGTGTCTCAAGTCTTCAAGTAGCATTCAGATGCTACTGCAGGAAGATTTAAAATAGTTGCTTTCTCCATTTTTCAGAAGTGCCTATAAAGAGGCCTTTTTCCCAGTAATGTCTGCTGTGAGAACTGGTGATTTGCTGTTCAGTTTTGTGATGGAAACAACCTTAAATTTCAGGCTGTTGCTGCTGAGTTCCAAGAAACATCTGAGTAACTGCATGGAAACTCTCTCCTTTTACTATTTTCTGCCAGCACTATGTCAGGCAGCCTCATGCTTCAAGATCTGCAGTCTTGAAAATATTCCAGGACAGATTTTTATGACTGGCTTTGCCAGTGGAGGCAAAATGTTGGTGTATTAGCACAGGCTGTGGTGTAAAGGACAGCAAAACAGCAATAGTGTCTGTTTCCCTTCCTTGCATGGCTAATTAACATACACGAGCTGAGTATAATGACTGCTTTAATTACTTGCCACCATCCCAGATCCATAATCAAGACTGACCTGATTTAACAGTCCACTGAAGCATTAAGAGTACATCTCTGAAGGATAAGTTATTCTTGGCTGAAATGTCACTATAACATTATTCTCTTCCCATAAATCCCAACAGAGAATAGTTTTCTTCTCTCTTGAATTTATGTTCCATTCTGGATTAATTTATTTGATACCTTCCTGCTGTACTAAAGCCACAGAACAGCCTTACTCATGATCAGCAGCTCTGTCCAGAAGAATAAAAATTGAGTGTTCTTGGTTAGAGAAGCAGACACCTTTAATTCTGGGAGAAAACATCATTGCTTTTTACTAATTAAATTGAGGTTTCCTTGCAACCTGGTGTTGAGCTGTTGTCAGTGATTAGTCTGTTGTTCTTTGGAAATTTCAGACATGGTTTCTGTGATTGTGCTGACCTCTCAGTGTTTTTGTGGCTTGCAAGTTTGAAAAATGCAGCACAGGCAAACCATCACCAATTGTGTGAAATAAAAAGATACTTTGTTGTTAGAGAATAATGTGCCCTTCTGAGTGGCATTGAAATTTATGAATCAAAATTAAGTAAAAAATAATTGCTGTTATGTATTTTAGGCTGAAATAACAACAAAGAAATTGCTGATAATTATTTTTTGTATCCAAAGAGGGTTTTTTTTTCATATTTAAATAGATCCATGTCAAACACAATCATTTTATGACTGTCTTTACAGCTGAAGCTGCGAGACCTTGCTGGCCAGGCCGTGGCTTTTATCCAAGAACTTGTAACAGCTCTCCTGAACTTCCACACATACACTGAGCAGAAGGTACAGATCTTCCCCATTGATTCTGCAACAGACACAATATCACCCTTGAATCAGAAGGTAAAGTTTACACACTTCACCTACAAATATATTCAATTAGTTAGACTTCAGTGAGTGATTGATCTTAGTTAGAGAAAATTGCACCACCTTTACTGGAATGCTGTGAGTGTGTTCCTGAGAGCCAGCCCCTCCTGCATGAGGCATCTTTTCTGCTCCATGAATTCTCTGAATGTGGATGAGGTGTAGTTGCAGAGAATCCTTTTCCCCTGTGCCTCTGCTAGAAGAGAAATATGATAATCAAATCAAAGCTTTGCTTTTTTAATTGCTAAATTGAAGTGCATCTGTTGAAAGTTCAGCTGACTTGTTTTAAAATAATAGTGCACAAATATTGCACTGCTGAATAGAGCTTATTGTAGTTAATGCACTGGGGCATAGAAGATGTTGAGACAGAATCTGGTCTTGTGTTTAAAGTGCTCAGCTGTAATATTAAATAAAGGGTAGAAGGTAGACTTCTATGAAGGAGAGAACCTGGACTCTGTTCCCTTGTCAAAAACAACTTTATAATCTGATTTTGGGCTGCTTGTGTGAAGGTGTTTCCTGTAAGTGTTCTGAAGCTTCAAGTTTGTTAAACTTGTTGAAATTAGTATGAGAAATGTGACTCATCTCTTTTGACACAATTCCATGGAAAGATTTTCTGAGAGTATCACCCAGAGCTGTTAAGCTGCATGTTTTGACTTTGTTTTCCTATGCTGTGAACTAGAGAAAATAACTGTGCACAAGGATTTGTGTGGGGATGCATACATGTATACTTTTGAACAAATTGCATTAAGATCAGAGTTGACTTCATAGTTTAAGGGGATCTGTGAGTATTTAAGTTGCAGGGAGTATTTTGTGATTCAGTCTCTTAATTTCATTTTAGTAGTTGCTAGGGCTCAGACTTAAGGTACTGAGGTGAATTGTGGTTTGCGTTGATCAAGTGGCTGCAGTGTCAATGTTAATTATTACAAAACTTTCTGTTCTTTGGAAAACCTCCTATAACCTCTTTTCAGGTAACAAATATGTTTGTGAAGGTGGTTATCCACTAGAGAAATCCCTTTCTGTTTGCCTTCTCAGTTGTTTCAACTGTTTTAGTCAAGAACACCCTTCTGCAGAGATTCAGCAGAGTTTGAGAACATTTTCTTGCTCCTGCCACCAAATGCTCTCAGAATGGCATGTCCTTCTTGTGAAAATTATGTGGTTTAGTCAGCTTTAAGATTTTTTTTGGGGCAGGAGTGGTGTCTTTTTTTTTTTTTATGTAGCCCAGTGTGGTGACTGCATTCTCAGATACTACTGCAGTTTACACTAAAGCCATAAATTCAGATTTCCTAGACATCTCTTCTCAGTTTTTTTTTTTCCCCCTGGCCTCCTAGTTAACACTTCTTTATTGTTTTTCAGCACAGCTGAAACAGGCAACTTAATCAGAACCATAATTTCATTTTCCTTTTCTTATAATTGAGTCTGATTCAGTAGTTCAGGCTTTGTTTTCATAATTATGTCTCTTGTAATCTGCCCCACTGTGTATTCATGACCTAATTCCCTCAATGCATGCTACTTCTCAGGGCTTTTGCTGTGACTTTCCAGTACTGAAGCATCTTTTATTGCTCTCTGAAGCTGTAGTTGCTCCTGTATTTTTGATTAGTTTATCTGTTTGCTTGGCAAATGTTCTCAGTGTGTTTTTTTTTCTTTTTTTTTTTTTTAATTTTTAGCTACTCTACCAAGTTGGTCAAAAAGTCCCCTTAATATGGTAGAGAAGATGAAACAAGTGTCAGGTAGTGGCTTAGCAGACTTGCACTGATTTATTTTTCCCCAACTCCAGGTCTTGTCTGGTGCTTTCAAGCTATTTTCCCCACCAAACACTCAAAGTAGATGTGGACAATTCCCTGCCAGGTTCAAGTATTCCTTTTCTCTTTAAGGGTTGGATTGCTGGGTTCTGCTGGGTCTACAGCATCATGCTGGATAATTCAAGTCTTCTCTCTTGCAACACAAGCCAGGAGCATTCTGCATGTTTTATTTCTTCCTCCTTAGATTTAGGAATTTTCCCTAATTCCACCCAGGTTTGTGCATGCATGGATCAGAGCTTAGCATCTCACTCTTCTTGTTAACATTGTGTTACCACACTGTAATAATACAAGGAACAATTAAAATCTCTTGTACTCTGTTTGCCTGGGATCTTTAGCTGCTCTTGTGGTGTAAATAATCAAAGGTGAAGGTATCTTTCTGTGGGGTATAATAAAAGCCAGGATTGCTTTTGACTACCTGTATTAATTTGTGGAAGAAGCTTTTTGTGGTACTGAGGTACCAAAATGGAAAGCTGATGGTGTCGTTACATTTGATTGTGTGTAAGAGTACATCTTACGTTCTCAGGTCTGCTTTTTTGAAGGCAAAATTAACTGTAGGATTGAATTAAGCAATTTTTAGCAAAGTCAGGCAGGTCCATGAGGCCAAAGTCAGAGTTTTAGAAATAAGAATTCTCCTGTGATCAGTTGGAGCTCCATGCTTTGCTTTAGCATAAGCATGCTTTGACTTGTGTTGAAAACTGGACTGGACACAGATGAAAAGACAAAAAAGATACATCTCTTGCTCTCAGTTTGACTTGGGTTTAGTTCTTTAGTACTTTGTACAGCACAGCTTTGCAAATGTTTGTGCTGGTGGACAAGGCTGGGAGGAAAACTACTTTTGGGAGGAAAGTGGGATAGTTTATTCTGTGCCTAAATGGTGCATGGATCTAACCTTAATTGGATGGAGTTGAGGAAGGAATGCAGGAATGTTTAAAACTAAAAAGCAAGGGTTTGGTGTGCTGTGCATGGCAGTTGAAATGAGACTGGATGCCCTGGCAAAGCCCTAGGTGTGGTTTTGCCTGGACTTCAGTGCTTCTCCCTTTCCCTCAAGGTGTGTTTTGACTGTAGAAGAGGTTGCTGTACATCACTGGACTGTTGTATCTCGTTAGTGACATCTTAGGCATCGTTAATGGGGACAGGGGCTTTGCCAAAATGTCCCGTTCAGTTGTTACCTTGGCAGAGTTCACAGGAGCTGTCGGCAAGCACCATTTTAAAACCTCTGTGTCCTCAGTTCTCACAGTATCTCCATGAAAACGCTTCCTATGTTCGCCCTCTGGAGGAAGGAATGCTGCACTTGTTTGAGAGCATCACGGAGGATACTGTGACAGTCCTGGTAAGATATCCTCCTTTTAGTACCCAGAAAGATTTTTACAGAGCAAAACCACTTAGCTGTTGTTTTTTCCTTACAGGAAACAACGGTGAAATTGAAGGCCTTCTCAGAACATTTAGGTTCCTACTTAGGCTTTTTAAGAAAGATTCTCCCTTATCAGTTAAAAAGGTACCTTTCATTTGATAGATGAAATTTCAAGGCACTGTGTCAGGCATGCAGCACTGTCAGCACCTACAACTCAAAAATATTAGGTCAAACCTTAAAATACTGTGGCCTCTACTGTCTTAAAAGGCTGAACTATTTTTTTTTGTTTTTTTTTTCTTCTTAGTTTTTTTGCATGTTGTTTTCTAAACCTTGAGGTTAGGCACAGCCTTTTTGAGGCATTAGGACTAAAACCATGTATTTTAAAGCCCCTCCACACACACCCTCCCTCACAGATGAGACTTTGAAAATAATGAAGCTTTCATTAATGTTTCTTAGTGTTATTCAATAGCATGGATACTATTCAGGTCTGATACACTGAAACTCTAAATGCCTTGAGCTTCTCTGAGAGTTATTCATCAATCAATAAATGTGGCAATGTAGTAAAACTTGGCTAGGTGTACATCCCTTCTGCTGGGAAAATCTTTGTTCCTGAGGTTATTGAAGGGAGGTGAATTACAGGTGCAAAGAACTGCTTTAGGAGAGGATTTGGACTAAGGAAGAAGAAATCCCTTGATTTATGCCTCCTTTAGACCTGTTCTCGTGCTCCTTAGGAAGTAAAAGAGAATTTATGTACTAGAGGGAAAAGTCTTCAAACTTAAATTGCTGCAATCAGTTCCTTGCTGTGAGAGTAAGTCATTCCTGGATTGTGACAGAAACACCTGGGAGTGGCCATGCACACAGTAATTTTCATGTATTGCTAAGTTCCTCTGCTGTGTTAGCCTTTCTAAAATCAATTCCTGGTCTGCTATTACTTTGGACTGGGGAGGTAGAGATCACCTATGTGCTCTAAAACTCGTGAGCTTGTTATTTTTAAGGCAATTGCTTGCTTTTTAAAAAAAATAATTCATATATTCCTAGTTTGGAAGAAGAGTGTGAGTCTTCTCTTTGCACAGCTGCTTTAAGAGCTAGAAATATGGAGCTGCACAGAGACATGAAAAGGTTGACTGCAGTCTTTGAGAAGCTCCACACGTACGTCAGTCTTCTGGCCTTACCAAGTAAGTGTCAGTTCTGCCTTGGCTGGCTACCCTGTGACTGGTTTTCTGTGGGTTGTTATAGCATGATTGACAGTGTGCCTTGTGTCACCTCTTAATTATGAAATGGTTAATAAACTATGTTGTCTTACTAATCATCACTTCCAGCCCCTCGTTTCTGTAAGGTTATTACAACTGTCATGCTAATAAATAATAAAATTAATAAAATGAGATAAAGCCTTTGTGTGTCTGTGTGTGGGGAAGCTATCTCCAAATGCATCCTGTACATAGCAGTAGGAAATGGTTATTGTGTAGCTTCAGGTTATTTCAGTCTTGACTCTTTAGAAAGGCCCAGATTGTCTTTCCTACAGCTGAGAGCATGTCTTTGTGTGTGTGGTTTTTGAGACCAACACAATTGATATTTATGAAATCTGAATAAAAACTGGGCGACTTGAAAGTCTTTCACCTGCCTGCTCTGTCAGAGTTGGATATATGTATATTTGATATTGAAGGGGAAATTTAAGTAAATTAATCTGTTGTGACTCATACTCCATGCAAATGGTTCTAGTAGGTGGAAACTGAATTCTTTTCAAAGCTAACTTTCTTCATTCATGCTCAAATCTTAGTTTTGTGGTTTTCCTTCTTATGTGTTACTCCTAGGTACAAGACCAGAAGGACTCCTTAGGACAAATTACAACTTTGTGTTTACAAACATCGCTGCAAGTCTTCATGGATTCCATGACATTTTAAAAGGTGAGAGTTGGGAATATGGTCTTGTTTCAGCTTTGCTGCTTTCTTGTTTAGCATAGCACACATGCACTCACTCTATAACACTGCTGAATGTATTGTATGTGATAAATCTACTTTGTTTTACCTTTACATGCTAAGAAACTAAACCTACTAACCAATTGTTGCAGACATTCATGCATGGTTTTCATTTCTCCATTCTCTTAGCTTTGTTCCTCAGAGTTGCTGGATTATTTAATTGTGGCTCTCCAGATTTTTCTGACCAGTATCACTTTACTTTCTGAGCTTCATTGCTCTCCTGAAACTAGCACACAGAATGGAATGCTGAAATGTACATATTTTCCCCAGCATATGTAGCATTGGCTTAGTACCTGCCTTCAAAGTGGAATTTTTCCATCCTGTTTTTAGGGTGATGACTGTTTTTAACATGAATATATAAGCAAAGTTTACAAAGAAGTCTGAGTTCTTTTTGAAACTTGGCTTCTTCTCGAAAATGGTTTACCTTGCTTTTATCAGAACAACATTGATATGTTATGTTTTCATAACATATGAAAGGGGTATTTGGTTAAAACTCAACATTTTAAAACTGGTGTTCCTGCATGTCCTAGAATTTCAGTACCAAGGACCTGTTTCTGGGGAGGAAATAATCCATAGAGATGAGCTGGATTTTTACTAGTCAACTGTTTAAACATTAAGCTTTCATAATTTTAAGCAAAATTGGGGGTTTTTTCCTAATAGCATGAGTAGTATGGCCCCATTTTGCAGAGTCCTTGTTTTAAAGAAAAAAAGGAGATTGTACCTCACATAAAATGAGACCCTAAACCTAGAATTTTGTAGCATAGATAAGTTTAAAGTACTTTCTACCTCTTAATATGGTCGCTATACTGTAAAGTCAATCCAACTTATACTTTAAAGGAAATACAGAAAATAGAAGTAGTGAAGAAAACTGTCAATAGAATTCATTATCTATCAGCAGAAATGTTCTTCTTAATATCTCATACTCGAATACTCCAGAATGTTTAATTTCTCTCCTCTTCCTCAATCCCAATTGATTTTGAACTTCTTAAGATTACTTTAGATTACAATTTGTGGTGGTGATGAGCTGGGATTTCTCTATTCTGTAGCAATAGTACTCAGTTTTAAAATAGGTGCACATTGTTCACTTGTCAATTATTTTTTTTCAATTAGGCCACATTGAGAATGTTATTACATGATAAATACTTGATTCTTTTTAAATTTTGGTGTTGTTGAAATTAATATATTTAGCTTAAGATGCGTTTGTGAATGACTTTCAAAAAGTTTTTTATTCTTAATTTGGCATAAATGTGCTTTTCATTTTCCAGATATTTCCAAGCACTATAGTCAGAAAGCTGCTTTAGAACAGGAAGTTCCAACTGCCACACAGAAACTCATAACTACAAATGACTGTATTTTATCCTCTGTTGCTGCTTTAACAAATGGAGCAGGCAAGGTAATGGATATTTTTGTTTTAAACAGTGATTTAACTTGTGCAGATTTTTAAGAAACAAAAATAAACTTAGCTGAGTGATTTAGAAAATCTCTGTGTGCCTCTGATATTAATCATCTGTAGTGTCATGTTGATTCTGGAGTTATTCTCAGGCTATGAGTTAAAAACAGCTGAGTGATAAAAGTAGATCCTGTGAAGAGGATGCTTTGTGTTAGGAAGGTCTAAGTTTCATGGAAGAGCCTGCAGCTTGTTTCAAAGTCTTGTTAAGAAGTCCAGCTTCACTAAATAGTTGTCTTTTCAAAGATTAATTGCTCCAATGACTCCTTCTGGTCAACTTAATTCAAAGAGCCACTTCTCTTGATGTGTCTAGATGGCCTCGTTCTTCAGCAACAACTTGGATCACTTCAGCGCCTCGTTGAGCTATGGCCCCAAGGGAGGAGCAGAGTTCATCAGCCCTCTCTCAGCTGAGTGCATGCTGCAGTACAAGAAGAAGGCAGCTGCTTATGTGAAGTCCTTGAAGAAGGTTTGTTCAGCCAGTGTGCTTGCACAGAGGGAGCACAGTTCTGTTGATGGTTATGCCAAGCAGAACACAAACTAAGGGTTTGCAGGGTTTGGAATGGAAGAGATTGTCTGAATGACAGGTTTTGGCTGAGGAAGTGGAACCCTCAAGGCAATAATGCTACTGAAAACTTCAGAGAGTGTGGTTGCTCTCACAACTGAGGGTATGTGCCACTTCTGCCTTACCCATTTCCACTAATTATTTCTGTGCCAAGTGTCTAAGGAGAAGAGGGTGTCTGCTTATGTAAATTTCCTCCTGTATTCACCAGGAATATGGAGTGAATGAAAACATATTCAACATTCAGTTGAAGACACAGGGGGAAAAAAAAGGAGGTACCCTGGAGAAAATGTGCTGAAACAAAAGATTGAATGCAGTCAGATCTCTCTCCCTGTTGCCTCCATTAAAATTAACAATTAAGTCATGTGCTTAGCAGATGTTACTAGATGTTACTACACTTTACTGCAATGTTTGTAAAGAGGACCTTAAGATGCCTTTGATCATTAATTAAACACTCAGAGTTTTCTGAGCACTTTTTAATCAACTGTACCTTTTGGGGAAGTATTTCTTGAAAGGTCAAACCATTTTTTCCTACTGCCTGGTAAGCACTTGGAACATGGTTTTTTTCCCCTTTACTAAAGTAAGGAAACTAATAAGAAAACACAAGCAGAATACATGTTCTGATCTAGCGTGTAACATATTTTGAGAGGGGTTTTTTGATTCTTCTGCAGCCTTGTGCAGATTCAGTGCCTTATGAAGAGGCTTTAGCCAATCGCAGAGTTCTACTGAGTTCTACAGAAAGCAGGGAAGGTCTTGCACAACAGGTACTGTACTAACATGTATGGCAGTGTATTTTGTAAAGGTAAACTTGTTTCAAAGTCTCCACATTTGTCTGTGGTCATTTGTAGGTATATATGAATATGCTGAACCTTAAAATGAGACTGTAGATGTCTTGTAGAGTTTTGAAAGTAAAACCCTTGTCAGGCTGCCTTATCTGCAGAAGGTACATATAGGTAGATAGAGGAGCCAGGATTATGCCATTGATACCTTCATTTGGAAATACAGGTAATCTTTAATAATTAAAATAAATGCAAAATAAAGGAATAAGGCATACTAAAGGATTAATTTTTAATGTTGTGTACTGATTTGAGTCCTCTTTTGGAGTATGCAGGAAATATTTGCACTGGTTAAGAGCACTGATTTTTCTTTTCCATTAGGGTAATAGATCAGGGTTTCTATCTTCCAGTATGCATATATATATTATTTTTTTTCCTGGAAGGTGAAGCAGGATGGGTAACATTATATTTAAAAGGCCTACACTGTTTGTCCATTGCTTCATATGAATGAGAATAACTAATTAATACTGCCACTTCTTTATTAGCTTGTATACTCAGCCTATGTTTGACTCATTGTTATTGAACTGTTACAGAAACAAATATTTCGGTGATTTTTTTTTTGTAGTTACCAATATTCTAAGTGTATTAGTAGGAGTGAAATGAATTTCAGCAGAAATGTGCAGTGATTAGATATGTTCTGTTCCGTAGTTGTTTTCTTACCTGGACAAAGTGGCTGGTTCTGGCTGTGTGAGCTGGGACAGCTGGGAGGGGACAGTGTGTCTCTCTAGCATAGAAAAAGGTAGTGATGTTGCCAGGTACACATCTTTCAAGATTTTATAAAATTCTTCCCTGCTTTGGTTTTTCACCTAGTACAATGTTGCCAGTTTTACGAGCGGTGCATGTTTCAAACTAAATTTAATTATGTGGCCATTTTTGACAAAGAACCACAGCTGAACACGCAGCTCAAAACAGTGGTTGTTTACCTGCTGCGCTTTGTTAGCTCACTTATGTAATGGTTTAAAATAATACTGTCCTCAAACATTTCCTGTGTGTGGGTTTTTTCCTCCCTGAGTTCAATAACCTGGACTGTAAACTTTCCCTCCTAAAGGTCCAGCAGAGTTTGGAGAAAATTGCAAAACTTGAACAAGAAAAAGAACACTGGATGTTGGAGGCTCAGCTGGCTAAAATTAAGCTGGAGAAAGAAAACCAAAAACTGAAGAACTCTCTTAGTGGACATTTAACTGAAACTATCCAGGAGCATTCAGTTCTGCCAAATATAGCAGAACAAAAGAAGGAAACCACAGAAAAGAGTCTGAGGGAACCTATTAAGAGCACCAGTCTGGTAAGTGACCTTTCCCTTCAATAGAGAAAAATCCACTTTCTTTAGTAGCCGTGCTGTTTGATCAGTGGAACACTAAAAATGAAAGCCTTTTGACTGTATTGAAAAGCATTCACTCTTGGGGTCCTTGTAATTGCAAAGCTGCTTGCAAATTCTTTCTGCAGAGTTGGGCACTTCTTGGATGTTGAGACTTTGTTTGCTGTCTTTAGTATTGTGACGATATTTTTGTAGTATTGTCCTTTTGTAACTGAGGGGGAAATAATAGGTGCTTAACCTCCTGATTTGTCTGTAGTTAGGAGACTTTGCAAGTGTTGTGTATCTCGGGTTGGGCCTGTGTTTCCAATACTTTTATTCATCTCTAGGTATGTTAAAGCAAATGGAAGTAGGTAGGTAGTGTTTGTAAATGGGTTTGAAGACTTATTGGGGTCAATTTGGATTCAGCAATTGCTTTTGGATGTAGCATGCATTCTTTCCTTGCTCTTCTGTGCTGGTAAATGGCTTTTTCCTGTTTACTAACATATTTAAAATGAATTGGCCTTTCCCCTGAATTCCACTTCTGAAGTGGCATAGTGGTATTAACAGGAATGTCATCTGTAAGAAATAATAAATCTGCTCAGCATTCAATAGAGTTGTTTTTTTTTTTTTTGTCCTCCCCACTTTCCTGCTCCAAGATAAAAGTAACCAGTGGACTGTTTTGAAATCTCCAGTTATGAAGTACACTGGCATCTTAAGTTTTTGATCCTCTATTTGATTCTTTAGGAGTTTGATGAGAATGTTACTCACAGGTCAACATATTGTATGAATGTTTCCCATAAACATGAATCTCTAGTTCTGTTGAGATCAAGGGGAAAAAGCCCCTTGGATTCTCTGGGAAGATATCCTTTCATGAAACCAGGTATTGGCTCGCACTGCTCTTGTAGAGTTTTGTCAGTGCTTAGTAGTCAGAGGGGGAAGGAAGGAATTTGGAAGGTATTCAACAAATCCAGGTTGACTTTTCCTTCCTCTTAAACATGACAAGTAATGTTTCAGTGTGCTAACGTGGCTCTGAATTAGTTTCATATGACCAAGCAGTTGCATAACCATAGGAGCCCAGCTGCATCTTGTTGCTTTTATTGCCTTTTCCCTGTGTGGCTCCTAAGACAAGAGATGTATTTTTGAGAGTTGGTGTCAGGTTTAATTCTGTTCAAGGCACTCATGTAACCACTCTTGTTTATGTTACAGGTGGAAGTACTTAAATTTGATTTCAGTTTGAATGGTTGCAAGATTGTTTAAATTCCAAGTCCTTCTATGACTGAAACCGAATTGAAGCTATGGTATCTATTTTTTTGCAGTTCTCATTAAGTGTATTTTCTTCCTTGTTCTAGATTGGAATGTTGACTGTAACTACTGATAATGAAAAGGTAATCTGTTTTAAACATTATTAAAGTCCATCTGTTAAATACTTCAATTTTGATTCTGCCAAACTTATTCCACAGGTCTAATTACCAAGAATACTCCTCTATAATGGCACAAGTTGACCATGTCGTCTTTATATATTAAATGGTCAAATTTCTGAAATGCATGTGTTCTTTAATTTTCTTCTTCTGTTAGTGAACTGTATTTGGCCCATGTAAGCCTTTTGGAGCAATGTGAACTGGAGTCAGAGTCTGCTCTCTGTAATTTGAGGAAGACACTGGTCTGTCTGTGCCTCAGCAGCCCAAACTGTATCCCAAGCCTCCATTCTTAACCCTGGAGGAAGGGCTCAAGCTGCATAAAAAACCCCGGCTGCAATGCCTGGGGTACAAAGCACGGGTCACACTGAAACAAACCTTGAACCAGCCCTCAGAATAAATGTTAACTCTTCATTTAGCCCTGCTATAATGTAACACTTGATCCTTCAGGAGCTTCTGAGAGTAAGGTTCACTGCTTTCCCTTCTCTGATACTGCAGGGAACTGTGTGGATGTGAAGTTTAGTTCACTCCTCCTTGTCTTCTGAAAGTGTGATTAAAAAGGGGTAGGGGGCTAGATAATAACTCATACAAGTCCTCAAATGCTTCTGCACAGTGCTGAACTTGAAGGTAATGACAAATCACATGAAAGCTGAGTCCAGTGGGTTAGTCTGGAAACTATTGAGTTGTTGGGGTTTTTATTTTCTATTTTCTTTTTTAATTTCAAATGTATAAAGAAACTTCTGGAACGTGCAACATTAGTAATGGTTATGACTTTTGTACGCTTCTGAAATACAGTTACGTGATGGAATTCTTCCTTGTTGGGAAGAGACAGTAAGTTTTCATGTAGGTGAAAGCTGTTCACTTCTGCAGTGGGTTTTCTTCTTCATCAGACACTTGATATATTAAAGCAAGTTAAATTCTTACCTCTTCAGTCAGCTCTTTGTCCTGTAAGCAAATCTGACATTGAGTCCTCATCAGAGTGACGAATTGCAGTGTGGCTTGCTGTAATTGATCTGTTCTGTTTGCAGAATTTGATACTTTTTGATAGAGCAGCCAGGGCTCAGAAGGTAAGAAGAAAAAAAGTCAGTATAGAGGCAATGTTGTGATTCAGGTATTCAGTCTACTAAACATAAATGTTGTCTGCTTAAACTTTTCTTTGCCAGGCTCCAGATGCTGAGTCTCGTGAAGACCTGATAAAAACTCACTACATGGCCAGGATAGCAGAGCTGACCTCTCACCTGCAGCTTGCCGACAGCAAATCAGTGCACTTCCATGCTGAGGTGAGCATGCAGGCAAGGACTGTAAGTCCTCTTTGTGAACTTCCCGCAGGCAAGTGCTATGATAGTGAATTTCAATGTATGGAGCATAATGTTTTATAAAAATCTGTTCCTGGAATAATTTTGATTGTGGTCTAGCATGCATAAAAACAGATACTGTAAAAGAGCTTTTTATGTTTAATAAATCCTTTGGTAGCCTTGTCTTGGCTGTATTAAGAAGTATAATGTGTGTCATGTATGGGTTTGTTCACATAAGCTGAAGCAGCTGGCTTTAGTTACCAAGGAAGTTTTGACTTAATTTTATAGTGAAGCTGATGTCATTCAAAAATATTTGAGTGTATTATGAAGTGATGGAAACAGCTCTCCTGAGAAAATTGGCTCTTAGGCATAAGTTATACTACAAGAATGAATAAGATGATTCATTGTATCTATGGTTTCCTCTTCATTTCAAGTCATGAGGGAACTTTTTTTGAAAGTAGTGGCTGTTTTGATTTGTGTAATAAATGATGTGGAATACACTAAAGCTCCAGGTTAACAGAGCAAATCCTCTTAAATATTTTTTTTTAATGGAAAATGACATAGTATGGAGGAACCATCTTTTCTGTGATGTTTGAGCCTTGTATGAAGTGAGTTCTTTGTATTGGTTTTTACTTATGAGAAGTTTTGTGGCAGTTACATGAAAAATATGATATTTAGAGGATTGGCAGTATAGTAGCTCTATAAAATGAAACATTTAATGTTAACTATTCCATTACCTCTGCATTTAAAAATGTGCACAAGCCCTGAGTTTCTTGAAATCCAAGTATCACAGATGGAAAAGTCCAAAGCAAGCACTTAAGGATGCCACAAGGCAATACTGTGGAAGTGACTTTTGTTCCTTGTGCCCTCCCTGTCCTGTTCCTGGTAGTGTCGAGCACTTGCCAAAAGACTTTCTCTGGCAGAGAAGTCCAAGGAATCGCTCACGGAAGAGTTGAAGCTCGCCAGTCAAAACATCACCAGATTGCAGGCAAGTAAATTGTTCTGTAATGTAAGGGATGCATTTTGTAATCATGTGTAAGGGGAAGTTGGAACAGAAAAATGACAACCATCTAGCCTGGCCATGCCATTACTAGGTCCTGTGTTGTGGAATATGAAAACTCTAGTGGTATGTGGAGAAGAGACTTAAATATTACACTTGAAATCCCAGGTATAAAGTTGAAGTGGAACAGGCTTCCAAGAGAAGGTTATATTGGCCAAATCTGTGTGTTTTAGCCCATTTGATGTCAAGGATTTTCATGAAAATGAGAGAGTTGTAATGCTTCAAGGGGTGCTAGTTTGACTGATTTCAGATGAAACAAGGAGTTCTTAATCCTTTCTTGCACCTGGGTCTGAAAGCTTTAAAAAATGCCAGGTTGATTTGGATTTTTTTCATATAGATACCTTAATATTAAGCAAAGATAGTTTTGGGGTAATCTTTAAGAAACTGTTGCTAACAAAAATCAACTCTTACGGCATCCTGTGAGTGTTCTGTCCCTTTGTCCTTCTCCTCCACACAGCTGAGAAAGATGCCAGTAGTACAATAAAGTATAAATAAATACACAATTCATCAATTCCTTCGTGTTTTCTTTGCACTTAGTTCATATCATTATTGCTCATCTGTCTGTGATGGTCAGTACCAAAATTGCTCCATACAGGCTGTGAATATAATGTTAGAAGCTTTGAGCTGTTGTGCCCATGAACAATCTGTTTTAAACACTTTCTTGATTTGTTCCTTTAAGAAATTCCACAATAGATGTTGAATGCAGCATGAGATGTTAATTTCCAACTGCATATTTAACTTCATAGGAAAAGATAGCAGGCACACACCATTTGTATGTTTAGCAGTCTGCATAGTACTGAATAATAGACTTGTTTAGGTTGTAAGAGTCCCCTTCCTTTGGTCAGAGCAGAGAGCTCTGACCAAAAAAGTGATTTGTCCCCCTCCTTTGGTCAGAGCAGAGAGCTCAGATCAAGCTGTGGAACTGGATATTTCCTATACAGCCATGCTAGTCTTCTGCCAGTCACTCCGTGACTTAGGCACTGGATTGTTCCTTGTTCTGTCCTTGGTCATTCAGCTTTCCTGGGCCCCTGTAACTTCCAGGGCAATTTTACCTGGGACCTTTCCAAGCAGACCTTGAAAGAAGCCAGAATCTACTCCCCTTGAGTCTAAGGTTGCTGTAATTCTGCCATTCATCTTGCTTCCCTCAGGATCCTGAATGCCGCTAACTCATGGTAGCTGCAGCCAAGGCTGCCTTTGGCTTTCCCATCCCTGACCAGCTTTTCCTTATTTGTGAGTAACAGGTCCAGCAGAGAGCATCTCTTGGTCCCACTGATCACTAGTATCAAGAAGTTCTATGCCACACTCAAGACAGCTCCTTTAGTTGCTTGTCTTCCACCTTGCTGCCTTTCCCAGGACATGTGAGAGTAGTTAAAATCCCTAATGAGGATCAGGTTCTGTGGGTGGGAGATTTTTATCTGCTTGCAGCAGATGCCTGTCATATCACCCTGTTGTTCACATGCTGATGAGATTTATTAGTCTTCAAGCAACTTCTTCACACAGAGCATGATTTCTGTCCTTCCTAAAGTGTGTTTATCCCTTCATTGCTGTGTTCTAGTCATGCACACTATCCCCTCGTGTCTCTGTAAAGAGAGATCATAGCTCTTTCTAGCTGCACATGGAGTGGTGGTTCCTTCAGCTTTGGATGCCTTATGTGTTCTTGTGCAGGCCATGCTTTAACCCCATAAACTTTACTTGTTTCCTGGCTGGAAGCAGTGGTGGAAAACTTAGCTGTTACTCTTTTATGTAAGCCATAAAAAGTGGGGGGGAAATCTAAAGGAAACAACACAAAAATAAAAGGAACAAGCCATGCATGGGACTTCAGGTAAAAGAAAAGTAGCTGCTGACTTCCTTTCATAAAACAGGATTTTTTTAGCTGAATTGCACCCACTCAGCATCAAACGTGGAGCTTACTAATTGGAGGTGGAAGTGTGCTGCTTTGCCAGCTATCACTAATACTGAGCCACGGCCTCTGGTTGTTTAATTTTTCCCTTAGGACGAATTGATGACGACAAAGAGGAGCTACGAGGACCAGTTAAGCATGATGAGTGACCACCTGTGCAGCATGAATGAAACCTTGACAAAGCAAAGGGAAGAGATTGATACACTAAAGATGACCAGTAAGGTGAGCTGGCAGTGCTGGCACGGGGCCCTGGCTGCAGCTGGGGGTGGCAGGGTTACATTTGGTGTTCCTGAAGCTCTGCCCTTGGACAAACCAGCTCACAAGCTGTAATTCTTGCTCCAAGCCAGTTGAAAAGAAAACTCCAAACTTGCTCCTTCAAGTTTCAGTGAAGAAAAAAATTCTTGCTAAGCATACATGTGGGAAAGAACAAGCTCTTCATGTCACTGCTTCACATCAGGTTCTCGAAGTGTACCCTCTGATGGTAGATCACACTATTTTTTTGGTGTAAATGTGGTGAAAATGGAGCTATTTGTAAATCCAGCTGTTGAGACTGTGTGGTTATGATGTAGTTCTGGGTAGGAGTGTCCCTTCTGCACTCCTTTTGGTTGCAGCATACTCTGTCCTTGGCAGCTGGTCTCTTTTATTTCCGTATTCTGGCTCATCTGTCCCTTGTGTAGGAATGAAAAAGTTGTCACTTTTCTTCTGTGAGCTTGAAATGCACACTTAAATTCTTTACCAGGCAAGGAGTCTACCCACTTGTCAGAAACAGATTTTCTTACTTACCTAATGATGAAAAATACAGAAGTCTGCTTTTTTGAGCAGCCAGTGATTAAACCATGGTATATCCTTTTCTGATGGTTCTAGGGAGGAACAGATGTTGTGAAGGCCTTTGTCCTTTGTTTGACCGACTGTGAAACAAGTTATCATTATTCTCCTTATTTCTGGGATGCATGAAAGCAAGTGTCACTGAAGGATTAAAAAAGTAAAAATAATTTTAAAACCATGTTCTGATTAAAAAACACACGATAATGATTTTTATTTTTTAGAGTAAACTCTTCCTCCTGCTTTTCTTCAGATTTCTGAGTGTTTTAACTTGGCATTGTATTCTTTAAAATTACTTTGTGGTGTAAAAACCATTGTGTTTCCAAAAGGAAGCTCTTGGCTGCATACTGACCATAGCACTTAATGTTTCTATAAAATGTTTTCTGGAATGTCTCACTTGCCACACTTCTAAGACTTGAATTGGTACTCTCTGTGTAAGGACCTCAGAATCTCACAACAGAAGCCACACAGGTTTTCACAAGTTACCAAATGTAGAAGGGGATTCAGCTGGAATCCAAATGAAGCAGTTAAAGGCCTTAACACTTGGAGAGAGTTGTTGGTTAGATTCAAAACAAATGTTATCTTCAGGAAATAGGAAGACTGAGAATTGCCAGCAAGTAACTATTGCACAAAACATTATTTTAAGCTCCACATTTCCTTTTGGAATTACTGAAGGTCAAAGGTGAGTTGGCTAGCTGAGGAACAAACTCTGTTCTGAACTAGGAATAATCTGTACAACCTGAATTAAAATAAAATTCATTTTGGAAAAAAAAATCCAATATGGTGAGGAATTGGTTTTTATTTTGATACAATTATTCTATAAGAAGTTGTTTGGAGTAGCACATGAAGGTGTATTATGATTTCACTTGCCTTCACTGCCCTTAAAATATTAGTGGTATTAATACAATAGAATGTATTGGAGATGTCCCTCAAGTGTCTTTCACAGGTTTCAGTGGTAGTAAGGTATTATTGTGCTTATTTGAGGTATCTGGTACTGTGCTTATTTGAGATATCTGGTACTTACCTCTGTTGTGGTTATAGAAATAGAAGCATTTTCAGAGCAAATGGTTACAATCTGTCAAACTTAGAAGCCCATGGAGTGTTTATTTTTAGTCTGACTGTACCTTGTTTGCTGTAGGCATAAATTATTAGACATCAGATTTTGTATGTTACCTGTCTGGATTTCCTTACCTGAATGATAACGTTCTCTTTACTTGTTTCTTGTTGCAGGGGAATTCTAAAAAGAACAAAAATCGATAGTTTACAGCTGAGTCTTGGGAAGCTGCTGCTGCACAGGATGCAGATAGTGACCATTCTTTATCCAGTTCCTGTTTGTTCCAGGAAGCTGAGGCTGGTTTTGGGTCTAGTAAAAACTGAATTGGTACTGTAAATGGCTTAAAAATATTTAGAACTTGTAACAGATAAAACAACTTAATGTTGGCTCTAAACGAGGAAATACACACTCTGTGGATAATTTATATAGTAATTACCTTCAGTTTTTACTGTGCACTTTTTAAAACCAGGTTTTGATTTCATGTAACAACTTCAGATTTTGTATATTTTCAAATATGTTTCTGCATTAACAGATTTGGATCAGTGCAGTAGGTGTCTATTTTTGAGTTCTGCGTTTAATGGTCAGCACATGGACATTCCATTACTTGTTAATAACAGTTTAAAAATGAGTTTGGAGACTTTTTTTGGCCATGCAAGCTGTGCAGTTACTGTAAATGTACTACTCCTGTTCTCAACCCTCTAGAATTAATTGGAACTGTGGCTTGAAATGATTTTTACAAATTCACCAAATACATGGGATCATTGTTAGACTGCAACAGTGGAAACCTTTCCTGCTTGTATTTGGCACTTTGGATTTTGAGGTAAGGAGCACAAATGGCTGAATTGGGTTACTTCAGTGAAATTGCTTTAAGCCATTTCTGTAACCTTTTGTTTACACATGTATGTAAATATATATTGTTTGAAATAGCTGTTTAAGGCTAGAGGAAACTGTGATTGTCATTTGCCCTAAAAGAGTGAAACAGTGTGTGTAGAATAGATCAGCTTACTGTGCTCTCTTACAGTAAAGAAGAATATGAAATGTGTAGAAGATTTAAGCACTGAATTTGCAAAAGGTCTTCATGGAATTGAGTTGTGATGGATTCACTGGGGGATGCACATGCTTTTCCTGTGTTTTCAGAAGTTTGTGAACTTTAGGCCGCTCCTAAATTTTGGTTTTTTAATTTTTTTTTCAAGTGAAGTTTAATATCACAAGTTTTCACAGCACTGATTTGTTCTTGGGGGTGGGGTTTGTTGGGTTGAATTTTGATTGGTTGTTTATTTGGGGATTTTTTTGTTGGTTTTTTTTTTTTAATCAGATGCTGTGCTGCTCCATACTTTTTACACCAGTCTTCTGTTCCATAATTTCCATTATGGCACTTATTTGTCCCACAGGGGTTTACTCTGATATCAGATGTGCTGAAATGTATTATCAGTATGTAATAATAAAATCAACCACATGAAACCAGCTTGACTTTTCCCTTCCTTCTGGCAGTGCCCAGGCTGCAGAGTGTGACCTTGTGGTGGGGTGTTCCAGCTGTTGCTGGTGGGATGGTTCCACCAGTCTAGGTGCTCTCAGTGCTTCTTTTTGTTCTGATAGTTTTTCCTTTCAGGAATGCAAAATGGAAGTGGTTGTGAAGGGGAGAGGAGATGGGGAGAGCCTGCAGGGTTTCTTATTGATGTTGAATTAAGAGCTATGTGCTGGTGCTAATGAGGGTTGGGAAATGTTGGCTTTCTCTCCAGCCAGTTTATGGAAGCAGATACAGCTTCAACTGTTTCATTTAGGTTTGGGAAGCTAATTGCTTTCTTCCAATTCTTTTGAAGCTGCCTTTTCTGGGAACTTTCATCTTGCACTTAAGGTACTAATACAGTTATTTTAATTCTCTGAATCAAATGACTGAACTGACACTACTTTTGCAGATAGTATTTTTCATAGGTTGCTGCCTTTAGAGAAAGATTTTGCTTAGGCCATTTTTTCCATGGCTGAATAAAAATAGTGTTTACAATTTGCATTAAAAAATCAAATGCTTGCTCAGAGTATATACCCCAATATCCAAGCTGGAATTCATGTACAGGCACTTAGGTACAATTCCAATGTCAGTTTATCAGCATTTTTTCTTTGCAGTGTTGTTTGGGAATGTATTTGGGTGTCCCCCTCACCAAGCAATAACCATGCTCAAGAAGAGACAGTTCTGATCCTTAAGCTGCCTTCAGTTTTCCAAGGAAATGTTTTGAGTAAGTTCTAGACAGCTGTAAACTATCAATACCCAAAAGTAAAATCTGGCAAAAGAAACTTAAACCAGTGTTTTGGGTACTGCTGTAGTAGTGTTGTAAGGGGCCACAGGATATTACACTGAACTCAGTGGCATTAGAAACTGGATCAAGTGGAAATACCAACTCCTTGTGCTTATTATCTGCTAACCAGGTGATGCTCAATCTTCCTCAATATCTCAAATGCTGTTAAATACCAAAATAGCTACTGCACAAGGCTTTGCTATTAAAAAGCTGAAGACTTGTTTCAACATTGCAGCCAAAAACTGGTCTTTGAGGCAAAGTTTTCCAGAAAAAAAATTTGCAACTACTTTATTTGCAATGGCAAATACAGAGTATCATGGAATGTGCAAAGTCTGGGCAAGGAAATTTTACTAATAGAATTAATCTTCAGAAATGTGCAGTGTGAATGCCTTCAAGGCGGTTAATTGGGGAAACCAGTGAGAAAGTTTTGTAAAGTGTAAAACCCTTCAGCACAATACAGTGTAAAACCAGGATTAAAGAAAAGCCTGAATATCAGTTATCTTTTTTTAAGGACAGTTCACTATGACACACAAGTTTTAAAGCATTTTTTGAGTACTTAATTTCTCCATAATGTTGAGTGCCTCATGAGTAATCTCTCATTCTCAGGCTTAAGTGGCTAATTCGGAAAAACCATATTTTAATGGTTTTAATTGGATTTTCAAAAAATCTTTGAGCTTTGTTTAAAGCTATACTAACATGTTCAAGGCTTTCAAAATGTTCAGCTGTTCTAGATTTCTGAAAGCACATCCCAATAACTATTCTTGGTGTTGAAAATAAATACTTGCTGTAATCAGGGATTAATTTAACCTCAAGATTGCCCTCTCTTAAGAACCACTGCTTCATCAGTTTGAAATGCCCGAGAAGCACCAAAGCCATTGTCTGTTTTACAAGGCCTTAAGCTCCTGGAGGTCAGAGGTTTCCCTGCCTGAAGGCTTAACTTCTAAAACAGAATCTTAGGCTGGTGTCATAAACTGTGCAAGGGTGCATCTCATTGCTGTTTGAGCAATGATTATTTTGAGTTGCTACATCTCTGATTTAAACAGCAATCAGCTGAAGTGTTGGTTGTAAGTTGGTGGTGTTTGTCCTGTCTCTTGTTATTCCCTTCAGCTTCATTCTGAACCAGTTCAACATTTCATGGCATATGAAATGTGCCAGATCTTCTCGATGCATGTGAAATATCCAGGCTGGAGCAGTTTGTTTTCCTACCTTTGGCCAGGTTATTTTATATGGTTATTTTTATATGGTTATTTTCCTTTTTTTCCCAAGCCAGCTTAATTTCTAATGTGTATTTGTAATCCTGCTGCTCTACCTGTCCTCCCTTCCCTTGCTGGCAGATGAAGTTTTGGTGTGAAGTTTTTTGGCCCAGCATGTTTCCTGGGTGCTGACTTCACTGTTCAACAGTGCTTCCTACGCTCCAAAAACCAGATTTACTCCGATGTGCAAGGCATCAGCTGCAAACAGGAAAGGAAATAAACTTTGTATCCACATAGTGCCTATCAGGAGAAGGGAGAAGTTATTTACTGGCTTGGCTGAGCAATGTCAAGGCTGTGGGTTTTTTTAATAGTGTAAATCCAATGATAGATTAAACTTTGGAGAACCATCTGGCCCTGTAAATTGGGCAAACCTGTTGTTTAATACAGTCTGTATGTAAGGTAATTTGAGAGCACTATCTTAGCAACAGTAGGGTCATAATAAAAACAAAGCTTAGTGCAGTAAAAAATTTGTAATTGCTGCCAGAGGTCTGATTACTTCCTCCCACGAAGGCCGGATGCTGCTCTAAGAATGCTTGTTGTGTCTTACTCTGCCTTTTCTGCCTCTGTCACTATCTGCAGGATTGCTCATCTGTGAATTCAATCCACGTTTGTTTAGAGAGGGCATTTTTGCCCAAATTCCTGAATATTTGTTTTAATCACAGAGTTAAAAACTTTAAGTGCAGTTGTGCCTGCAGCGCTGCCAGCGTGGTTACAGAGGGGTCAGAGAAGAGCTTTGGGGGACCTTTGTGGGGCAGGGCCGGGCTGTGAGCTGCAGCTCATGGAAACTGGCCTGGGGCAGCTCTCATTGTCTGCCTCTGCTGGCTGTGCAGGCAGCTTGAGACATCACTGCTCATTCGGAGTCACCCAGCTCCTTACAGAGGCAAATACTCGAATTGCTGCAATGCTGAGCTGCAAAAAAAACCACCAAGTCTGTGATTCTCCTTGGGCTTAATTTGCAGGGCAAGACACCCCACTAAGAGTCCTAAAAGAATTCTGGTTGTAAACCTCTTACATGGAAATTGCAGAGATAGCAGTAGAAAGCACAATTCATCTGTTTTGGCACTGATTAATCCTGTGAGTCCAAAACTTTCTAAGCTGATGATGTCTTAAGTAATGCAGAAGCCTTTGAACCCTAGGCCTGGTGTTAAAGCTGTAGTTACAGTCTCCCCTAAGCAACACAGCTTTGTCCTGAGAAGAGTTAAACCCACAAAGCTTAGGAGTCCAGGTCGTTTCTAGTTATTTTAGGCACTAGGGATTCTTTCACTAATTTTCTTGGCATCTAGTCAATGGTGGCATGTAGCTCGCTGCAGGCTCTGTCTGTATCAAGTTCTTTGCTTCTGAAATGAGCGTGAGAACACCTTACACTGCCACACACTCCCCTTTCTGCCCCTCATCCTTGCCTGCTCTCCCTTAAAGCTTCAACTTTCTTCTCTCTTGGATTTAAAAGTCTTCAGTTTGGGTTTGAATAGCGAACGCAGAACGCTGTATCCAAGAAAGATAATTTTAATGAAGTTACGAGATTGAAAAGGTCTGAACTGAGATTTTCAGTGCAGTTGCATTAACTGCAGCCCTTGGCACAGGGAACAGCTGTAATCCTGGAACTGCTGCTCCTCTTCTGTGCTTGGTACTTAGTGACTTTCAAATTGTCATGTGCAGGGCTGGACAGAAAGTATGAACCTGGAGAGGGGACAATCAACATGACCAAAAGTTGCTTCTGAAGTCTGGAAAGACTGGTTTATTTTTAGTCCAAACAGGCAAGAACAAGTTTCTCTTAGATAATTGATCTAGCCCATGAGGTCAGGAATATTTGAAGCCAATTTCTCACAAAAATGACATCAATATGCTAAATTTCTATAACCAATTTTTATGTAATAAATATACATAATTTAAATAGTGAATATACTAAACTTGTAAGTTTTTAATAGCAATTGTATTCAGTGAAAGGTGGATTCATTTAACCTGAGGAGAATTTGACTGTTCAAAACAAAATACATCTTAGATTTTGCAGAAATTTCTTGCTAAAATAAAAGCAAAGCAGTGAGGAAAGAGTTAAAATGTCTAGAAACAAGTGGTTTTCTATCTCTGTTTACAAATATTTGGTTCTAGCCAGATATGAACTGACAGGTTTCACTTTTGATAAAATAGTCGTAGACAGTAAACATTTTATAAACAGGCAATACACTACAAATCATGTTAAAATCAATTTAAATATAATCAGCAATGTAAATGGAATTTGTTAGCATTGTAAAATGTTGAATGAATTTTATAACTGCCTCTAGCAACATATAGTACTGTATCTTTATGTGAAATGCTCTTCAAATTGTATTTACAGTAGAAATAACTTTTAATAGTTGTAATTTGTTCTGCATATACTATTCGTCACAGTCAAATTATTTTAAGGAACTTTAAATCTCAGTATCAGGGTTTTTTTTCCTTTGATGCTTGAGTTTATATTGCACTGAATTATTTTGGAAGAGAAAATGATAGCAGAATTTACTGGAGAAGAACAGATCTGTCTTGAAAATATATACACTTGCCTCAGCAAAGGAAAATCTGATCTATTTTTAGATATGTATGCTTTGATAAGGAGATATGAGAAATTAATACTCTTCCCACCTGAAAACCATTAGGAAGAGCTAATGTGGAAGCTAAACAGGAAAAAAGGCTTAATTGAATGTTGTGCAGGAGTACATGAGAGTTTGAAGGACTCATTTTGGAGTACGTAGAAAATGTTAGAAATTATTTCCAGTTTCCTGGAATTTTGGCAGAACAGGAGGTATTGATCCACTGGCTCCCTCTGCTAAGAGGCTGAGTGTGTCCTGGGAGAAGGCAGAAGACTGAATTGTTTATGTAAAATACAGTTTTTATGGAAATACAATTTTGACACCAGGCCTGGATTTCAAGGGCAGAAGACTTA